TTCTGAAGTCTGCAAGTTTTCCCAGGAACACAACACAGTAAGAGGTGAGCAGAGCCCTAGGAGGGTCACAAAACCCGGCGTGATCAGTAACTCTCACGAGAGAGCTGACCATCACCAGCTCCAGAACGTGGAATCCCTCCCTTTTCTCCCACGTGCTTCGCCTGCAGGGCTGTGCTGGCATAAGCAGAAGCACCTCTGTATCGACTCCATCGACACTTGGACTAACTTATAGCTCAGGGCAGCAGAACCACACCAGCCTCCGAGACCGCTCTGAAGATGGCGCACGAGGTTCCTGGACAGTCAAGAGAAAGGCTGCCAAGGGCAGGTGCTGTGATCTTCCCTGGCACTCCCCCCTTCCCTCCAAGGAATCAGAAGGCAGGCAAACAACTGGAGGAAATACAGGGAAAGAGGCTGCTCCAAAAGGAAATGATGCAAACACAATCGCACAGCTGAGACTTGCCGGTGGATACAGGGAATGATAGCAACAGTGCTACCCTGGACGCCTTGGCACCAGCAGCTCCCAGAGACGGCCAGCCCCACCCGGGCACATCAGCAGCAATGCGCCCCTGGCCGCTCAGCCCCGCTGTGCTGGTTCTGAGCTCTCCACGGACCCCGCGCTGTTTCTTGCTGTTCCCAGGCTCCATGTTGACACTGATCCTCTCGCCTGCTGGCCAGCTCAGGTGCATCCTTCCAGTCCCCCGAGCAGACCCGGGCTGAACAGGCGTCCCCGCCGGTCCCACTGCTCTCTGCACGCCTACATCATCGCCCTGACCCTGATGTTACATCAGTCTGGGAATGTTCTTGCTTCCAGCTCCCCAGACTACAGCTTGCTCAAGGTCATGGACTCATTTCCTGCAGACCTCTGAGCTCAAAGCCCGGCTTCAACACTTAACATCTGTGAGACCCTGGGCAGCACCGCTGCTGTCAGATGAGGGCAGTGGTATGCACGTGTCATCTGGGACCAGGTGAAAGCTACACCTTCCATAATGCACGCCACACACCCATGCTTGATGCCCAGTGCATGGGAAACACTTAATGGATATTAACTACTGTCTGTCCCCAGGCCCACAGACCCGGGAGAGAGCAGAACACAGCCTGGCAAACCTCTTCATAACATCGAGGAACTGACTTCTCTCTGCAACACTGCATCCACCTTGTGAGCCGGCTCCTTAGAGGAAGCCTTTCTCCCACTCCCAGAAACCAGTCTGGAAACATGCCAATTCAAGTTTTAGATCAGGGAGCTAGAGATATTTAGCAGCAATGAACTGCTCATCATCCCTGAGAAAAATCTGCAATTTGCATTTTTTTCTTGCAAAAATCCTTACAAATAGTTGCATCTGGGGAGTGGTCTTGCAAAATTCTCTTATAACATGTGATTGAAACAGGAGTATTTTTATTTCTGGATCTGGGTAAACATTTGGGCCAACATCTTGATTTTACCCTGAAGGAACTGCGGCCACCTAGGGAGGTGAAGACACGTGCCAAGGTCACATAGCTGTGCCACTCACACAGCTCTGTCCTCCAGCACTGGCACCCGACAGGGAAGGGAGGGGAGGCTTCAACTTAATTTCTTCATATCATTAAGAAAAGGTCCTCGTGTGTATCAGTAACACACAAAGGGAGAAAGGAAACTGGTCCCAGGAACAAAGACCTCAAATGCTCTGCCAGCCGCACAGACCTGGCTGTCAGAAAACTGCCCAGAGTGACCGTGAACCGTCCACCTCCCCCGGAAGCATCCCATTCCTTTCATGGCCTTTCTGCTGCCTCTGAGAAGCCCCCCAACATGCACACATGCTCCCCACAAAGTCAGGGGGCCCGGCCTGGTCAGATACCTGGGAAGCACCCAAGGGCTGTAAGACAGCCTGAGTGCTGCTGACCACCAGACTCCTGGGGACACCAGAGGACCTCAAGTGCAGCCTGTGGAAGGGACCACACACAGAGTCGGAAATGCTGATGCCAGGGCGAGGCTTCCAGCCTCAGCCCACCGTGTGCCCTGGGCTCCCCAGCCCCTCCGAGCCGAGCCCCTGTCCCCGGGCTCACAACGAGGGGGCTGAAGGGAGGGATCCGTGGCAAACCACCTGGTTCTGAGATTCTCAGCCTCCAAGGACAGACTTCCTCCAGCTCCGGAGAGAAAGACTCTCAGGAGGGAGGAGCAATGTAACAAAAACAAGCAGCAGGGACAAGTCAGGAACCACGGTGGGAAAGGCCACATTCTCAGTGGGGCCACGTGGCTCGGAGCCCTGGGCTGCCCAGGAGCAGGGGGCACCGTGTGAGGTCTCCCAAAGTCCCAAACCACATCCAGTTCCCAGCCGACACACGGTACCCAAGCATCAGTCTGGACGAGGGACTGAAAGCCAGCAAGCTAGGCACTGGACGGCCCCTAGAGAACAGAGAACCAACGGAGCTCTGGGCGTTCTCAAACTCTGCCTCGGCCACAGGCCCGCGGCTGTCCCCGTCACTCACTCCAGTTAGCACCTCACTAGTTCCCTTCCAGGGACGGCGATGTCACTGTCAGGCCTCTTTAAAAACTGGAAAACTCAACTTGTGCTGAGCCTGGGAATTTCTCATCCCACTTCCTCAAGAGGGCCTGGATCCAGGAGCAGCCCTCTGAGAAGGGGCAGCCATGGAGGCCCACCCTGGGGGAGAGGGTCCCCAGGCCTGCCCCTCTCCACACACCACGCTGACCATCACTGGCTCCCGGTGCCATGGACAGCCCCAGAGCCCTGGACTGGAATTCAGAGATTTCATGACTTATCCCCATCTGACCCCTGTAGTCACACTTGCTCTGCATGTTTTAAAAATTCATGAAAACATCGGGTGCATGCAGGGCCTGGCGGTTAGGACGCCAGCTGGCATGTCTGCATCTGGCGTCAGCGTGCCTGGGTTTGCGTTCTGGCTCCACTCTGGAGTCCAGCTTCCTGCCAATGCACAACCTGGCAAGCAGCAACTGAAGGCTCAAGTACCTGAGTCCCTGCCACCCACGTGGGAGATCCAGATTGAGAACCTGGTTCTGGGGCTGGCGCTGTGGAGCAGTGGGTTAAAGCCCCAGCCTGCAGCGCTGGCATCCCATGTGGGCAGTTCAAGTCCCGGCTGCTCCTCTTCCGATTCAGCTCCCTGCTATGGCCTGGGAAAGCAGTAGAAGATGGCCCAAGTCTTTTGGCCCCTGCACCCACGTGGGAGACCCAGAAGAAGCTCCTGGCTCTCAGCTTTGGATCAGCTCAGCTCTGGCCATTGCAGTCATTTGGGGAGTGAACCAGTGGAATGGAAGACCTCTCTCTCTCTGGCTCTACCTCTCTCTGTAACTCTGTCTTTCAAATAAATAAAATAAATCTTTAAAGAGAGAGAGAGAGAGAGAGAGAACCTGGCTCCGACCTTGGCTTGGATCAGTCTTGGCCACGGCCGGCATTTGAGGAATAAACTAGATAGGAGCTCTCCCTGTCCTCTCTCACGGCCTCTCACGTGAAATAAACAATTTTATTTTGCATTAATGAAAGGAACACTGTCAAAGGCACTCTCAAAGCACACAGACCAGGTTCCCAATAGTTTGAGACCCGCGGGTCTCTGGTCTGGTCTCCCACAGAGCCAAGGGGCAACCCCCTGACAAATTCAGGGCCCCCCCACGCGGGCCCCTCCTACCACCTGAACGCCCCACCTGCAGGTCCCGCCCACACACTTCCCCCCCAAAAGCCTCCCCACCCCTCCTCTCTCTGGGAAACCCCCACAGCTCCGCGAGCTTCTACACGGCCTTGCTTACAAACACATCTCCCTTGCGGCTTAACGCTCACCGCCACGGATCCCCGGGGCGTGTCCTTGTCCCTCCTCCCGGGCCTCACCCGCGCCAGGCGGTCAGAGCAAGGAGTCTGGTGCGTTTCCCGTGGCCGCCGCGGGTGGTAGGACCCACGCACAGAGCTCCCGGGCTGGGCCTTGCCCACGCAAGTCCTCTGCTCGCCAGCGGCTGCCCTCGCGCAACGCCAAGGAGGACAGCTGCTCAATGGCCGTTCCTCTTCATTCACTGGGAAGGGTGGGGACAGGGACACGCGCGGGAACTTTTGGAGTGACCATCCGAGACTG